CACTGGCATAGCTTGAATTCAATCTGAGCTTTGCAGCTGGGACCCATATCCTTCTCTTACATGTCACAGTACTAACTTGCATTACACAAAGGGCATTAAAGACATCATGCATTTCAGAGGATATCATTTATTTCCTGAATTACTTGAGTAAAGCTGGGCTTGAGCTCACACCCTACAGACAAGTCTGTACTAATTAAATCACTGACAGCCACGACTGCAGAAGGCACAGCTTGTACCTGTCTTGCTCTCAGGTCTTTGTTACACCACCAGGTTATCTGGTGTAAGGCAAACCTCAGTGACAGCCCAGAGATATTGGAGGTATGACATTTTTGCTCAAAACATCAAGAGTTTTGACTTGTTTTGCTCTCTCACAGGTGGACAGCAGGTCCCTGCTTGGCTCAGGGAATCTAGAGGGCAGCTCAGTGGACCATCTGTAGGTACCTGCTTTAGGAGAGCTTCAGGCTCCACTGATGGTGTTATCTGGATCTCCTGATTCACTGATGGTATTATCTGGATCTTCATCAACTGTAATGGGAGATCAGACACCTGCATCCCCACCTGTAACTCAACAAGCACTGGCATTTGGAAAGCAAATTGCATCCTGAGCTGCATCCCAAGAAGTGTGGCCAGCAGGGCCAGGGAGGTGATTCTGCTCTTCTGTTCTGGTGAGACTCCATCTGGAATACTGTGTACAGTTCTGGGGCCCTCAGCACAGGAAAGACATGGAGCTGCTGGAGAGGGTCCAGAGAAGGGCCACCAAGGTGATAAAAGGGCTGGAGCAGCTCTGCTATGAGGACAGGCTGAGAGAGTTGGGCTGTTCAGCCTGGAGAAGAGAAGGCTCCAGGGAGACCTTAGAGCACCTTCCAGTGCCTGAAGGGGCTACAGGAAAGCTGGGGAGGGACTTTTCACCAGAGAGGGCAGTGATAGGACAAGGGGTAATGGTTTTAAACTGAAAGAGAGGAGATTTAGGTCAGACATCAGGAAGAAATTCTTCACCATGAGGGTAGGAAGGCACTGGATCAGGTTGCCCAGGGAGGCTGTGGAAGCCCCATCCCTGGAGGTGTTCAAGGCCAGGTTGGATGGGGCTTGTGCAGCCTGGTCTGGTGGGAGGTGTCCTCTAGTGGGAGGTTGGAACCTGATGATCTTTAAGGTTCTTTCTGACCTTACCCATTCTATGATTCTATGATCTGGAGCTGGACTCCAGCACTGGTAATTCAGTGACACAGCTCAGAGTGTCTGAGCCCTCATCAGCACTGGGGCATCAGCTCCTGCCTCTGCTGAGCCTGCCAGCACAGCCTCTGTGGCTCAGTGAGCAAACACTGCTCAGCTGCAGATCTCCTTTCTTCTCAGGATACCCATCATGCCTAGAAAGCCATTTGCAGAGGCACCTCATCAACTGCCTTCAGCCCCTTCTCTGACTCTTCCCTTCAACAGATGATGGGATAGACATACACCAACATCACGTGCCACCACGCAGAGATGCCCATCCATCTATTTCAACTGAAAGCACTTTACAGAAACAGTCATTTTTCAGTCTGCATTTCAACAGCCTTCTGCAATAGGAGTTTGGCCCATGATGAAGGCTCCTGGAAACTAAAGTAATACAAATAAATAATAACAACATAAACACATTATGAGTTCAGATGTCTGTGTCCTTGCTGCAGGAAAATCATTCATAACCAGAGGGTACATAAGCCCCATAGTATCTACTTCAGGGCTTAACAATATTGTAAAATGCACCAGTTTTGGAGGTCCCTGGAAAAATAAGCTCATTTTTGGGGGTGCTGACTGGACAACATGGGACAAACAAGCAACTAGGCTTGTTCTGCACCACAGCTGATTAAGAAGGAACAAAAAAATAATTTAAAAAATCTGTTTAGATTAAAATTTAATTTGAGTTGCTGTATGCAAGAACAGAGAAGCAAAATTAGGGCTACAGTATTGTCACAAAATATCCCCAGGATGGCTGAGAAGTTGTCTCCTGGCTGCTGCTTCAGAATTTGACACTTAACTACAGCATCTCTCTGAAGGTGGTTCAGGAATGAAGAGGTTGGGTCAATTTACCCTAAGACATCCCTGGGTATATAGAACAGGGGTTCAGGATTTACTGGCAACATTTCATGGTCTTTTCTTTGTTTTTCAGCAACAATATAGCTTCCACAGCTTTTATATCCACTCCTTCCTTTTACCCACACAGCTGTCAGTGGGGAGAGTTAGGCAAGAAAACAAAGCTGCACTTAAATTTTAAATAGCAGAGGAAACAAGATTATTTTGAGTGTCCTAATCTAGTTTATGTATGGCCAACTCCAATCATTTGGCCCTCAGTGCCATGGAGACAGAACAGTAACAAGTGACACATACCTCTCATACACAGCTTGGAAAAATATCCATGTAGCTACAGCACCAGGAAACCACTTTTATTTTGGGTATTTTAGGGCATGGACTGATTGAGACTGAAAAAAATGCTAAAGTGTTAAAAAAAACCCCTAATGTCACAAAACCTGCTGTTAAGCTGAAAAGTAGTTTTGTCACAAACTGAATGTAAGCATTTTCTCCAAAAAGAAAGAAGGAAATCTGCAGTTATATGTCCAGAACAGGGTGCCACTGCTAAAATGGGGACAATATTTTTTCCATTCTTATAGCTAGCTTGGAGGAAAAGTCAATTTAAGCATCCCTCAATGGGCCCAGCATTATGTGCAGTTTTAATTAACATAACATTTTCTAACTTTATTTTGCCTGAGCAGAAAGTAAAACTACTTAATGTGATATCAGCAATTTTCTCAAGCCAAGTTTATCAAATTGCTAACACATGCATATATGTATTTTAAAAGTTACAGGGAACTTGAGCTGAGTAAGTATGACTTAGACTTCACAGGCTGAGAGAGTTTGAGTTGTTCAGCCTGGAGAAGGCTCCAGGGAGACCATAGAGCACCTTCCAGTGCCTAAAGGGGCTTCAGGAAAGCTGGGGAGGGACATTTGACATGGGTATGGAATGACAGGACAAGGGGTAATGGTTTTAAACTGGAAGAGGGTTTAGGTTAGACATTAGGAAGATATTCTTTACTGTGAGGATGGTGAGCCAGGTTGGACGGGGCTCTGAGCAACCTGATCTAGTGAGAGGTGTTTCTGCCCATGGCAGGGGGGGTCAGAACTAAATGATCTTCTAGGTCCCTTCCAACCCAAACCATTGTAAGATTCTTGGATTAGAAGTGTCAGATATCTCAGAAACAATGCATGGATAAAAATCTTCCCCCAAAAAAGCAAGGCAAATCCTCTCCCAAGGGCTATGCAGATGGTTCAGAAGAGTTGGGGGAGCCTTTTAATGTTACTTAAGGGAAAACAAAACAAAACAAAACAAAAAGGCAAAACAACAAACCAAAGCAAACTAAAAAATCCAAACATCAAAATATTCTAAGTTTCATCCTGCATGGTCAGCTTAAAGTGAGGTTGCATCTTTCCTGCTTGAGGAGATTCCTGAGGAGATTTTTCTTATTGCAGGAGGTGACCTTATAAAGTGGCTTGGGTCAGTTGCATTTGGTCACCCAGTTAGCAAGAAACAAAGCCAGAAGCAAGTGTCAATATTATAATATGTGGGCTGATCCACGAGGGACCCAAATCCTCTCTGAGGATGCTTAACACACACAACACTGTTTTGCCCTTGTGAAGTTACAGACGGTGCAATATGGGGCACTATGTTGAAAACCTTTTTTTAAAAGGGAGCCAAGGGGTCATTAACTTTATTCATCCTTCCTGAAGGGGAGAATAAATATGTAGTTTTAAGCTCCTGTCTCTACTCTCCTCAATAAGCTAACACCTGACTCTCTAGAACAAGGGGGAATGTGAGTATCAAAGCCCCAAGAATCATAGAATCATTAAGGTTGGAATAAGTAGGGATCCCTATCACTAGATCAGATTGCACAAAACCTGGTCCAACCTGGCCTTAAAAACCTTGAGGGATGGGGCATCACAACCTCCCTGGGCAACCCATTCCAGTTCCTCACCACCCTTATAGTGAAGAATTTCTTCCTAATATCTAACCTAAATCTCCCCTCTCTCACTTTAAAACCATCACCCCTTGTCCTACCACTATCTTCTCTGATGAAAACCCCCTCCCCAGAAAAGTCTTGTGCTCAAAGAAGTGTGCTTTCTGAATAGCAAATAGCTGTTAAACTGCTTCTTCTCACAACACTGCACCCTCAACACAGGAGGTAGATCTGCAATTTCCAGTTCACACTGTTCTAAATATTGCGAAATACAAACTGTTGCTTTCCCTCTGGAATGATCCTGCTCTATGTATGAGCAATGGGGAAATCACAAATCATCTCCTTATGCCCCTGTTCAAAGATGCTGAAAAACTGTGGAAGGTAAAGGTAATTGCTGACAGACAGGCAGACTTCTCTCAATCACAGCAGGACAAATTAGTTTTGCTTTTAATGGAGAATCAACAACCTCAGAGATGGTGCAGATGAGAAGGGAAGAAGGTCATAACACTCTTGCATTGCAGCTCCAAGTCACTTATCACAGAATCACAGAATCTTAGGGCTTGGAAGGGACCTTGAAAGATCACCCAGTCCAACCCCCCTGCCAGAGCTGGGTCACCCAGAGCACATCACACAGGAACGTGTCCAGGTGGGTTTTAATGTCTCCAGGGAAGGAGACTCCACAACCTCTCTGGGCAGCCTGTCCCAGGGCTCTGTCACTCCCACAGGAAAGAAGGTTTTTCTGATGTTTACGTGGAACCTCCTGTGCTCCAGTTTGCACCCATTGCCCCTTGTCCTATCACTGGACATCACTGAACAAAGCCTGGCTCTGTCCTCCTGACACCTTTACATATTTGTAAACATTGATGAGGTTGCCCTCAGTCTCCTCTTCTCTAAGCTCAAGAGACTCAGCCTCCTCAGACTTTCATCATAAGGGAGATGTTCCACTCCCTGTTTCATTTATTGCCAAAAAATACGTTTTTCCACATATTATATAAAAAAGAAGAAATCATGACTTACCTGAGGGCCGATCAGACCATTGATTCCTGGGAATCCTGGCTCTCCCTTTTTACCCTGTGTGTTCAACAGAGAAGCAAATATTAGACATCAGGGCAAAGATTGCTGCTGACTTCCCAAAGTCTTTCAACCCAAAACTGGTAAATCACTGTGGGAACACAAAAGCTAGAAACAAAGGCAGCGGATGCCATTTGGATGTGAAACTCCAGTTGTCTTCCACAGGTCTGTATCTTCCAGGTTGTGGTATCAGCCCTCGAAGAGGAGGGTTGGTTTCGTGCCCATCTTGGTGTCTCTTGCACTCTGCAGTCCCACCTGGGCACTGCCCACAGGGGTCAGAGAAGTCACAGTGCTGAGATGCAGCCAAGGGAGGTACCAAGTGTAGACCGGTAACCTTGCAAGTGAAGAGATGCATGTACTACACACAGAGCTTCTTTCGGAGATCCCTAGGATGTGGCTTTAGCAGCTTTATAGCTTAAGGGCTTTATCTGGTTTCAGTTTGCTGAACTTGCTTCATTTAGAAAACTTGGTCCCATCTGAAAAATATTACTTGGGGAACATGAGGAAGGATATAGCAGTGTCACCTTCTTCCCAAACCCATCTCAAAAGCTGTGAGGAGGGAGCAAGAGATATTTTGCCTCCTGTGGTGAGTATACATGGGTTGTTCTGTTTCCACAATGATGGCCATGCACACTAGCCCATGTTAAAGGAGCCTATTCGTTCCTTGAGTATAATGCTAAGAAACTTTGGTGCTTTTCAAATCACTAAGAAATCCCTTAAAGCAGCATATAATTATATTGACACAGAAGCTGAGATGTGTAATTTTCCACTATGAAGGGGACATTTTGGCCACTCAGAGGTTAGCCAGAATCAAACTAGAATAGATTCCTTCCATAGTATTGTAGCCTGTCTGTAAAGCACAGAAACAAAAGAGCAAAATGCCACATCTCCAAATAATATGACAGAGAAACCCAGCAATTATGCTCTTTTCCTTATAGTAAGAATCAGCTAAGTATGTAAGAATGTGTTCCTTTTGACAAGATGAAATACATGTTATTTGCCTTCATCAGCAATTAGAATAGCACAGTTTAAAAAGTGTGTTTTATTGGAAACGGATATAGTTACCTCACTGACAATTACAGTTTCACTCTGGATTTAATCTACAACATCAGTCCCCTTTTTCTTCCCTCTTTTTCACAGAATCACAGAGTGGTTGGGGTTGGAAGGGACCTCTGGAGACCCTTTAGTCCAACCCCCCTGCCAGAGCAGGATGCCCTAGAGCAGATTACACAGGAGGGGTTTGAATGTTTCCAGGGATGGAGACTCCACAACCTCCCTGGGCAGCTTGTTCCAGTGATCTGTTACCTTCAGAGTAAAGAAGTATTTTCTTATATTTAGGTTAAACCTCCTGTGCACTGGTTTGTGACCATTGCCCCTTGTTCACCACTGAGAAGAGTCTGACCCCATCCTCCTGACATCCCCTTTAGATATCTGTAAGCATCAATGAGGTCCCCCCTCAACTTTCTTTTCTCTAAGCTGAACAGAACCAGCTCTCTCAGCCTTTCCCCTTATGGTAGATGCTCCTGTCGCTTCATCATCTTAGTGGCCTATGCTGGACTCTCTCCAGTAGTTCCTTGTCCTTTTTGTTCATTTGCTTACATTTCTGTATCTGCACTGCTGAATTTGGCAAGGGCAGGCAAGGTCATCTGAACATTTCAAGGACCCACAACTATATACAAACACAACTGCCCATTGGGAAGATTTCTGCCATACAGAGGACAGCAAATAAGGGAATATGTTGGTCCCACTCTGCTAGAGGGAAATTCTGAAAGGTATAATAGCCAAGGACTTCTCCTTACCTTGCTGTCTTAAGCCAGAATGGCCATATATTATCATAGCATGATTTTCACTGAGGTTTGGCCCCAGTGGTGGTTTTGGTAGGAAACACCCTTAATTGGGTGAATGAGTATGACTGCTAGCACAAACGCCAACTATTTTTTCTGTAAGATAGATGGGATGCTAGGATTACTCCTGCCCTTTTACCTCTGTCTTACTAGAGAGACCAGAAGAAATCCAGCAGTGTTAGTCAATGTTTGAACTCCCTGAAGGTATCAGCCTTTTACAGTCTCCATATGCACTAAATTAAGAAGTGAGAGCATCTCCACAGCTTGAAGATGTAACTGCCATCAGGGATGGCCAGTTTATGGATGATCATGAGGCTGCTGTGACAAAGAAAAATAAGTGCTATAAAGGTTTTTTGACATTGAGAAAAACTGAGTTTTGAAATTGACTCTTTCAAAAAAAGTCTACCTCGTTTGCTGGGCAAACTTATTCTCATCTCTGTGCTGGATTATTCACACATCACCCCCTGGAGACACCAACCAGCTATCTCCTTCCCTTGCACCCTGCAAGTCTAAGGTGGTTCAAATCAAGGAGAGCTGGCACATGGAGAAGTGAGTTCACACAGTGTTGACTGCCCATATCAAGCAGTGACTGGCCAGGGCAGGAACATGATAAGCAACAACCCACCTAGACAGGAGAGAGACTCATTAAGAAGGGGGAAGATATTTCTGTCCCACCATCAAATGAATAAAGAGCTCAGCAGCTCTGCAGGGATCTGATAAATCTACCTTCCTCCCTACAGTTGACAGGGATAAACCTTTAATGTATTGCCAAGTGTTCTTAAGATGTTCCTTCTGGGTAGATGTTGTGCCTGAACCCAGCAGCTCCCAGTTTTAACGGACCCCTTTAGGCTCTGCTGTAAAACAAATATGCAGCACTTCCTGAGACTCACAGCCTTGTAATCTAGTTGTAAAGAGCCAAGGAAGATCTCTTATGCTTTTTGTGCTCTTCTGACTTTGGAGACAAACATTCAGGGGATATGGACACAAGTGGAAACCTGATAAACATGACAGGTGAATTAAAGATGCAGTAACTCACTCCTGGAGCTGCATCCATTCCTCCTGCCTCCAACCTGACAGTTCATGACACAAAACCTCCCAATTACCTCACAAATAAAAAAGGTCTTGAAGCAAAAATTTTCTAAGTTATCTCTGTTTCTACAGTCGATTCACCCTCATCCTGTGCTTTGCATCATTTATTTTGTGCATGATGTAACGTGAAAAAAAAAGAGGAATTATTATCTGCCTGACTCATGGACATTGGAGTCTTAAGCCTGGAGAAAGACATACATTAACAGTAATTATTTTAAAAATATATTTTCCATTATATTTTCCCCCATAAAGCTATTGCTACTATTCTATGAGACTCCTGTATTTTATTTTAGTTTTGTTTTGCACTGAGTGTTCATTGAGCATGGAAAGATTCTAACAAAGTAAATTTAGAAAACTAGGCTGCAGTACAGCACCTCAAACTGAAAAAGAGCCTAAGTAGTAGCTGTTACCTGGTGGCTATGTAGAAAGTGCTGCTACAGAATAAATAGGTGTTTTCTTCTGGTTTCCTTCTGAAATTTCAGTCACTTGAATGAACTTGCATTATTTCAAAAGGAGGCAAATTCTTGAACTCCAAGTTATTTGGAGCACACTTCAGAAGAACCCTGTGTTCAGGCTGGATTAGATTACCCAAAGATCTGCATGTTTTCCAGGTGAATGTCATGCATCTGCACCTTTTGTCTCTATCAACCAAAAAATAAAAGTTTTCTTTCCAGCAAATATTTAATAGATCAGGTGTCAAGAAACTCAAGAAGCTGAATCGAAGCACTTCAATTCTTTTTGATTTCACAGAAGACAGAGGAGGACAAGCAGAGGGAAAAACCACCAAACCAACCTAAAATGAAACCAGACTCTCAAGAGTGCTACCTCTTTTTCAGGCAGTTTTAGTAAAATCTGAGAGACATTATTGTCTATCACTGAAAGGTCTTACGGCACAGATGATAACAGCGAAGCTTCTTTCTTCCTACTGGGTGCTCTTGATATGAGAATATCACTGTCAAAAAAAAGACATCAGGTGCCAGGCACCTGGAAGCAGCTGGCTAATAAGAGGAACATAACCAGAGGCCTGTTTGAGGTTGGAATTGTTACCTCTTGCCCCAGACAGGATCTAGGGTTGGATGTGAATTGTCAGATGAGCAGTTCAGTAGATTTAGCAGAGACTGTGCATTTTTCTTCTGTGCCCGTAAAGCACTTCAGGACCTGCAACTAAAGCAGACTCACCAAGAAGTCTTTTTAAATGCCTGAAAGATGATCTGTCTTCACAGCTTATGCTCCTCTTAGTGTGTTGCCACTACTGGATCACTCCCCAGGATGTAAGCAGGCCTCTGATTATCTTTCCACATTAAAGAACTACCTCTAGAAGTGTGTATTATTATAACTACATTGGAAACTTGGAGCTTCTGAGAATGGGCTGCAGGAGAGAGACAAATTCTGACAAATTTGCAATCAAATCTCTACACCATTGGCTTCACTCTCTGCTCCCAAACATATTTGGTTTCCCTTTTTCTAAATAAAATGTTAGGATGATGCTCTATCACATTCTTCAGTCAGCTCAGGAGTCTTTCTTTTTCTAACACCAATTAGGCTCTGGTAGTGTCTTCTTTAGTCTGTCCCCTACTCCCTTAGACTCCATCATCCTGCAGAGCAATGAATCCCAGCCTTTGGGCACACTTTTTGTGACTCACCAGCAGCCTTTGTGCCTTCAAGAACAGCTGTGACCACACTGCTGTCTTGTCCACAACTTCTGGGAAGTTTGTCTGAGAGCAACACAGTGGTGCTCTAAACTGCTTTGAAGTGACCTGTTGGGTATAGCTGGGCTGTATCCAACCTTCTCAGTGCTTGCAGAGAGCAAGGCAGGTTTGGTACTAAGCCCTCAAAAGGCAACATAGACATGGTCTTCATTAATACCAAGGCCAGAAGAATCCTTGGGCCATCAGAAGCCCTGATGACAGGGCTTCTTCACCCCACCTGGTTATTCAGCCACACTGTGCCACACATTAATAGATTACTTCTCCACTGCTCCAAGAAATAAGCAGTCTAAGCAGGGGTGAAGGAAAAAACTTCATGCAAGTACAAAGAATGTATTTAAATGAAGGACTGAGCTTGCAG